GAACTTAGATGCATAGTTATGAATAAAATTCTAGCAAAATGAATCTAGTAGTGTATAATTAGAGTTTATCCCAGAATATAAGAAGTTTAATTTAAGAAAATTTGTTAATGTGATTCACTATGTTAAAAATTTAAAAGAGAAAATATATGATTATCTTAACAGATGCAGAGAAAGCATTTAGTAAAATTTTACATCCATTCATAATAAAACTTACCAAATTGGGAATAGAAGAAAACTTTCTGAACATGATAAATTTATCTACCGATAGTCAACAGCAAGCATATTCACAAGGCAAAATTTCAGAAACATTTCTTTTGAATTCAGGAGAAAGATAAGGTAGATGCCTACTATCACCATTTCTTTTCAAACTGGAGAACCAAGCCTATAAAACAGCTTATGGAAAAAAAAGAAGAGGTATAAAATTTGCGAAGGAAGAAATGCAAGTGTTATTTTTGTGCAGACTGTAATTGTCTACATTGATAATTCAAAAAAATTTACAGATAAACTATTAAGAGTATTAAATTCATTCAACAATATTATTGGACACAAGGTCAACATAGAAAAATTATTAGTCTTCCTACTTATCAATCATGACCAATTAGCAAATGTGATAGGAAAAACAAAAATCTCATTCATAATGACACAATAAAGTATGAGGCACCCACCGATAAATCTAGCAGAAGATAGAAGGATTTTTAAAGAGAAAATTGCAAAACATTGTGGGAAGAATACAAAAGAAGACCTGAAAATAAATGAAGAGACATATGTTCATGGATCAAAAGATTCAATATCCTAAATATGCCAATTTTTCCCAAATAATCTAGAAATTCAATTGAATGTTAAATAAAAAATTCTCAATGAAGTTTTGTTTTGGATAGAACTTGACAAACTGAACTTAAAATTCTGATAGGAGATGAAAAGCTAGATAATTTTAGAGAAGAACGCAAGGAAGTGGGATGGAAGGGAGGCTTAACCTGCAAGATAAAATATTTAATGGTATTATAAAGGAATAGTAATTAGAGAGTGGGGTGATGGTGCAGAACAGAGAGCCCAGGAAGAGACCCACGCACATATGGAGAAGATATAGAACAGTTGGTGTTCCAAATCAGTGGGGGAAATAAATGACTTTTAAAAGTGAGTGATGCTTGGAAAATTTGTTATCCATGTGGTAAAATATCCAATTATGTACCTAAATCCTTACTCCAAAATAAATAACTAAAATACTGATCTTTAAAACTTTTAGAAGAAATACGGAGAAATCTTTATGAACTTTGAGCGAGTAATGATTTCTTAAACAGGACACAAAAATAAGTCATAAAAGGAATGAATGACATTTACAGAAAAACTTTTGTTTAATAAAGACATCTTAAGCAAACTTGAAGACAAGACTCAGACTAAGGGAAGGTATTTGCTACTCAAAAAGAAATTCAAATGGGCAACCTCACTAATAATTAAGAAAATAAAAATTTAAACTATTTGTGATATCATTTCGCACTTTGTGATATCAGATTGGCAATAATTAAAAAAGGATACTACTGAATATTTACAAGGATGTAGTACATCTGCTGATAAACAGAAATTCTCATAAGCTGCTTCTAGGAGAATAAATTAGCACAATCACTTTGAAGAACAATTTGGCATTATCTAATAAATGTCAGATGTACATGTCCTTCAACTTTACAATTGACTTCTAGGAAAATCCTCACCTGTGCTCAAGGAGACACATATAGGGCGTGTACAAAAATTCATTACAATATTGTTCATATTGGAAAAAACTGGAAATCATCTACATATTCATCAACAGGAGCATGAATAAATAAATGGAATACTAAAGAGCAGTGAGAATACCCCATATATAAACACAGATAACTCTCAAAAACACAATGTTGAGGAAAAAAGTCACTTTGCAAAATGACATAAAGAGTGTGATAAATTTTACATGAAGTTTGAAAACATGAATGTTATATATAGTTACATATATATTTTATAGTATGCAGGGAAAGGATAAATATCAGAATTCCATAGAGCTGAGTGTTGGATATTTAGATATAAGATATGTTAGTGTCTTCACTTCTTTGTTTGCTTGAAATATTATAGTAAAAATCATTATAATCCAGATCTGCGTAACTGTCAGTTCAGACAGAAGGACTCCCGAGCTCCCTGTGTGTGTATATTTCATGACACTGGGCTTCTTGGTGGCCCTTTCCCACTAAATCCCAAGCTCCCTCAGGGGCATCGTCTTTTTCCTTTCTATAATCCAAGGGCCTAGCATATTGGAGATGTTCAACCCATGTCTGTTGGTTGACTGACTGACTGACTGAATGAGTAAATGGAGCAAGGGAGGAATGCAAAAGGAGGAAGTTAGGAAGAGGACTGGATAGAGAGATTGAGGCAATGCTTTCACTGTCTGCATCTAACATGGCCTCCTATGGAGAGAAGTGGATGGACGTGAGAAAAGCTAGGGAAATGAGCTCTACTGTACTTGAGGGATGGCTAGAGGAAGAAGTCTAAAATATTTCCTGAGCTTTTCACTTGGGGGATGATGATGGTGGAGTCACCACCTGACATTTTGCCTGTTTAGGTAGGGAACACTGAAGATTTAAACACATAAATTTAAGAAGACAATGAGTTTAAATTTAGACAGTGCTGTGAGACCTCCAGGTGTAAATATTCAGCTTGTACTAGGATATATGGGTCTACAGCTTAGGAGCGAGGCCAGGGTTAGAAGTGTAGATTTGGTCATTATAGGAGAAAAAGGGTAAGTAGCCTGGTAGTGCATAAGTTTCTCTAGGGAGAGAAGACATAATGAGGAGGGCAGACGGCTGCAGACAGACCTTGGGGAGCATCAACACATAAGGGCCAAACTGAGAGAAAGAATCCAGGCAAGGAGGTAGAGACAAGTCCAGAGAAGGAAGAGGACAGGAGAGGCAAGGAAAAATGTTTTAGGAAAGAGGGTGGGGTCAGATGAGGAAGAAAGGTCCAAAAAGATAAGATCTGAATGGTGTCTTTTGAATTGTGTAAACGAAAGCCATTTGTGGTCTTTGCTGGAGGAGTTTCACTGGAGAGCTGAGAGGGGCAGCAGATTGCATTATCTCATGAGCAATGATGAGCTGAATGTGAGTACATGTGGAAGAGTAAATCTTGAAACCCATTTCTTTCAGATGCCTGGACTGGAGAAGGGAGAGAGAGAGATTAGTAAAATCAAAGGTGGATTTAGGGGTTGGAAGACAGTTGACTCTAAATAAACTAAGTGAAGAAGTCTGAAGAGAGAGGTTTAAAATATGGGAGAGAGGGGAAGATAATTGATGAATCAAGGTTTTGGTAGAAATGGAGGAATGTACTAATACTAACTAGCAACAGTAATTAGTACTAGTAATACTAATACTAGCAAACACTTATAGAGCATCTACTATGTACCAGGTGCTCTTCTAAGTGCTTCACATAAAATTAACTCATTTAATCCTTACAATAATCGTATGAAGCAGGTACTATAATTATCTCATTTTACAGATGAGGAAACTGAGGTACTGAGAGGCAAAGTATTATTATCATTACCATTTATCAAGCTCTTTTTATCTATCAGGAGTATGACTGCTGACAAGAACTCTGTAATATATTACATATTAGATATAATAAGAAAACAGTGTAAGGTAATAAGGATATGGAAGGAGAGTTTGTTTCAGTCTCTGATTTTGGAGGGAAGGATGGATGTGGTCGCTATGATGGATGTGGACTTAGGGAAGGAGTGGAGAGGAGGCAACAGGAATTTGAGGCATTTTAGGCCAATGGCTTCGACTTCTTTGGCAAAGTTGAGAAGGAATATATTTACTGTAGAAAATACAGGTAACAATAAAAGAAAATAAGAATATTTTAATTCCAAGCCATTGCTGTAACTACTTTTAACATTTTGTTGTGTTTCCTTCCAGAATTTGCTCTAAGCATGTATATAGGCATAACTACATAATGCGGAAGTCAGTCTTTCGTTCTGATCAAGAGAATGAGAGTCAAAATAAACAAACCCAGCAGAATCTAAATTCTGTCATTTTGGAGATACAGACAGAACAGTTCTCAGTGTATAGGAGATAGCTGTTTGACCTTGCTCCCTTGCCTTGAGAAATCTCCCTCTAACTCTTTAGTTATGTGAGTCCTGCAAAGAGCCTCAGGATTACAGAGGTCTGAGGCTCTGTGACCTGAAGAAATCAGGCTGTCTTGCACAACATATTGAAAGATCATCTTTGCAGTTGGGCTGGAGGGGTGCATCTCTGCAGACTGTTTTTTTGGAGAAATGTTTCAGACCTAAGTATGAATTTAGCTCATTCCTGGCAGAGTAATATACCTATTATGAGCTGATTGCATGTAAAAACAAAACCAAAACAATATTTATATGCGCGTTTGTTTCAAGGTAGATTACCCTAGATTAAACAAGTGTGTGTGTGTGTGTGTGTGTGTGTGTGTGTGTGTGTGTGTGTGTATTCGTTCTTCACTGAGGAAGTGCTAAGAATACATTCTGGCCTCAGAGATGTAGCCTTATCAGAAATTGGGGGTGGAATGGGACGAGGCTTCCTGGAATCATGAAGGGAGCATTCAACAGATGGATACACAATGAGTGACCTAGTCATCTGGGAAAATGCTATGGAGTGTGACAACTCCCTTTAATTTGAAGGGCGTGGAGGACTGGGCAACAGATACCTGAGAGAGGATGTAGGAGAGCTTGAGGTGAGGTGCTCTGACTCTAGGAAGTGGAAGAGGCTGGGCCCTATCCTGCCTCCACACTTTCGGGTCAGCCTGAGGATAAATAGGAACTTATTTGACAGGTATGATCCCAGGACCCACAGCAACTGATGGAGCCAAGCATTTGGACGGCTCCTTTTAGATTTGTCCTCCAGAAGCACGTGTTCAAGCAAGAACACTGATTTTATAAAGATAGGATCCTGCTTTACACATTCTTCACCTAATAATATATTGTAAGTATCTTTCCATGTAATTAAATGTTCTACATCATGTTGTTCGGTGGCCACTACATTGTGGATAGACTATGGCTTATTAACTAACCCTCTGTCGTGGAAATGCCCACCAGATTAGACCTCAGTGGAGACCAAACTAAGCCTACCTTGGGAGCTGGCCAGTGTCATATCCTCCCCCTCCTGTAAGGACCAGCTAAGTCAGTTCCTCCATCTCTCCCTTCTTAATATCTTCCTGTGATGGTTCTGGACCACCTGTTGAAGCCCCAGCCTGCCTTGTTCCCAAGCACACAGTATTCATGGAGAAAAAGAGGCCCCAAAACACTGAGAAAACACCAAGGCAAAGGCATGGCTGGGATCCCAGCCCAGACTCCTCATCCTCCTGCAGTTCCAGTCTTGGCTGAGCTGAGCTCTTTCCTCACAGTGTTTGGCTTGGATGTTAGACTAGGTGAGTCAGTCCTCCTGGCATCCTCCTTCGAGCTGAAAGTCTCATTGAGATGGAGTTGTTGCCAGATCAGTAGAATTATTGGTCTCTCCCACAACCCAAGTCCTTTCTCTGAAACTAGGTCCCACAATGTGTCCTGTGAGGGTTTAGGCAGGACCAAGCCGCAGGAGCTGACTTACATCAGCTCTGCAGTAGCCTGGAGACTCTTGTGGTACCCTGGGGCCTGGGCTCTAAATAAAGGAAGCACTTCCCTCTGTGTCTCCAAATTCTTTCTTCAGGTTTGGGGCCAGTGAGCACGCACCTCCCAGATGACGCTAGACACACCTGGTTGGAATCCCAGCTCTATCGCTGACTGCTTGGGTGACCTTGGCTTTACCTCTTTGAGCCTTCAAGATAAGTTTTCCTCACCTTTAAGATGGAAAATGTTATCTATACTTATGAACATAAAAAGAGTTAATGCATATAAATGTTAACAAGGGCTTAAAATTAAAATTTCCACCAGGCACCATTATGTATCATAGATGTAAAAATCCAAATTGAGGTGCCAAGTCACTCACGAAGATTTTCTAAGGAAATGCCAAAATCTGTCTCAAGACTTTGAAACCCCTTGACCATTTTGATACTCTGAAAAAGTAAAAACAGGAGATAGGAAGATTTTGTGAGGATGATTTTCTTGAACAGAGCTGTGCTGGAGTCCCATCTTGGGGACAGGGTGAGTTCCTGCTCTCTTACCTCAAACATAGTAAGGGTGAGTGTGTGTGTGTAGGCAGGGGAGTGGGAGGGGCAGTGGGACTACTCCAAGAACATAATGTGTGACCCCTACAGCTGGGGTGTGGTAGCCTGGGCTCTGGTCCCACCTTGGATATTTGGAAGGTGAGAAGAGGGCCCACTAGCTGCTTTGGTTGGGCTGCTGCCACTATGCTGGGACCAGCCTGTACTTCCAGATTTTTTTTTAGGGTATGAGAAGCACACGAGTTTCTGCTGGACAAATGTGGGCCTCACAGTAGAGAGCCTGCAAGGACTCCATGTATTGGGTCTTGTGTTGGGGAACTCTCCTAGCTAAAGTCTGGAGCTGAATGCCCAGGAACTGAGAAAGGGGTCTTAGATGACTGCCTGAAATGAGATTGGACTTGAGATACATCCACAGGTTAGAGAGAACTTTGGGAGAAAGAGGCTCAGTGGGGAATCTGTGGAGAGGGCACTAAAGCACTCCATGAGAAAGAGGCAGAATTTAACATCTGTCTGGCAAGAAAGCTTGAAGTCAACTTACAGCTGTTGCTACCCCTTCCCCGACTGCTCCCACAGGGCAGCAGTAGTCGTAGCCATGGTAATTGGCTGTGGAGGCTGAGTGGAAAAAGAGAGAAGAAGCCAGCCCCTCTACACTATCCCCACTGTGGGCTTCCAGCTGGGCAGGCTCAGGTTGGGGGAAGACAGGATTTATGGGAAAAATAAGTTCAGTCTTTTGATGAATACCTCACATTAGCATTTTAATTTCTGAATTGAGACTGTGTTTGCAACCCAAAGAGACCACAGACACTATTCTAAGAATGAGCAGAAAAATCTCTAGCCTGCTGGAGTTGTCATCCAGTCTGGAGAGTGTTCCTTCCTGGAATACTGTCTGTCTGTGCAAAAAAACAGTAAGCCAGTCATTTAGGGCTCTGAGCATAGCAGTTAACAGCTGGGACACATACAACAATTATTTTTTCTCCCCCACTCACCTTATCATCTCTGATTTACAGTCCATGCTTGACTTACCCTGACGTACTTTTCTCCAGCTCATGTTATGCCTGAAGCATGGTGTCTGTCTGAATGTCCAGGCCAAGTTCCCTTGGCAAAAGCCATCCTTGCCACTAATTATCTTGAGTCTAATCTCCCTAGAAGACAGATTGCCTCCATAATAGGCACAATCTTCCTATAGGCATAAAGTATTTTTCTCATTTCTCAGATGCGGGCAGTATTGCCCCAAGAGTCAGGCTGGGAGATGGAGCAGGCAGATTAACCTCTGCCATTTAGCCGCCTAAGGGCCCCATTGACAGACTAAAGCTCCCTGCCACACTGGATGCTCGCCTGTTAAAAAGTTGATAATGATAATGTGTACCTCACAAAATAACATCATGTATTAGATTGAACCCTAAGAAATAGCCAACTCTACAAAAATGGCAATTTCAGATGGTTCATCATGATATGTACACAATGCTTTGTGAACTATAAATTGTACTTCCAGTACAATTGTGTTAAACAAAGCCAAATAACAGTAACAACAGACTTCTTCCATCCATGCCCCCTAACGGGTCTCCAAAATTCTATTTGCAGGAATATTTCAAGGTCTCTAGTGACTTGTGAAGCAGCCACAATTGACAGTTTGAGACCAGTGAATGCACAAGAACTTCTCACTTCCTTGCCAATTTCTCCCAGTACCCAGAGAGCTTCTTCCTTTTCTTGTGGTCTCACTGCAAAAGCTAGCACAAGTAACAAGACCCCTGCCCTCCAATGCAATACCTAAAACACTCAAACAATCATATTCTGAAGTTTCACTACACTGTGTCTAAACGGGCATTTATTATACTCATCCTGCTAAACACTCAGTATATCCTCTCAATTCTGAGGATTGAGTTTTTCAGGTTTGAGATATACTCATCTATCCTTTAAAAATATATCTTCCATCAGATTGATAAATTTGACTATATAAAAATTTAAAACTTTTGTATAAAAAAGACTGTAAATGCAATTGAAAAAGGATTTGGGGGTGGAGGGGTGGATGAAATGGATGAAGGGGGTCAAAAGGTAAAAAGTTCTAGTTATAAAATAATTATGTTATGGGTATATAATGTACAGCATGGTGATTACAGTTAATAATACTGTATCGTATATTGGAAATTTGCTAAGAGAGTAGATCTTAAAAATTTTCATCGTTTGAAAAAACAATTTATAACTATGTGTGGTGATGAATGTTATCTAGACTTAATGTGGTGATCATTTTCCAATATATTGAATCATTATGTTATATACCTGAAACTAACATAATGTTATATGTCAGTTATAGCTTAATTAAAAAGAGAAAAGGATTCAAAGAGACAGTTTACAGAAAAAGAATCTCAAATGGCTATTAGACTCTGAAAGGATGATTAAATTTACCAGAAATTGGGACTATGCAAAGAAAAATTGTAATGAGGAATAATTTCTCACCATCACACTAGAAAAATTAAAGTATGAAAATATTGTCTTGGTGTGGTTAAGGGAAAATGGGGACAGCTATAAACTGCCTGTTGAAGTATAAACTGAAGAACAATTTGACAGAATCTAGTAAAATTGGAAATGTTCATATTCTATCACCCTGCAATTCTACTTCTGGATATACACTTGGAAAAACCTTCACCCATGTGCATAAGGTACATATTATTACATTGCTTCAGTGTTTCATGATGGTAAAAATTTGAAATTATTGCTAAGTCCATCTATAAAGTATTATATAAAAATATGGTATAGTCAATAATACAATTAAATATTCTACGATGGCCCAGCGAAATTAACTGGCCCTCTCTCCATAAATGTGGAGAAAGATAAAACATACTGTTGAGTGAAAATAGTGAGTTGCAGAACTCTAGGTATAGTATGTTATTACTTAAGTAAAATTTAAAGCTGCATGTAAAAAGCATCATATATATTATATAATCCACATCATATTACTGGGAAGATATACACAAATTCATGATGGTGGTTGCTGACCTAAGAAAAAAGGAAAGAAAAGGAGATAAGGTCAGAAAGACCATTAGCTTTATTTCTGTTTTTTTGTTTTCTTTTTTAAAATATTACTTAAAGCACATCTGGTAAAATATTATAAATTGTCAGTACTGAACAGTGGGAACACAGTATTATATTATTTTATGTTCTATTTTGTAGTTTCAGCATTTCTTTAAAAATTTCCTGTTTTATTTTCTTTTTCTGAAACACCTATTAGAGGAAAATTGGAACTTTACAGTTTTATCTCTCTTAACTTTTGTAAATATTTAATTAGTTTTTAATTAATTTTAAAAATAAAATATAGTTGATGTACAATATTATATCAGTTTCAGGTGTACAACATAGTGATCCTACATTTATATACTTTACAATACGATCACCATGATAAGTCTGGTAACTGTCTGTCATCGTACAAAGTTATTATGATATTATTGACTATATTCCTTGTGCTGCAGATTGCATCCCTGTGACTTATTTATTTTATACCTGGAAGTTTGTACCTTTTATTCCCCTTCACCTTTTCACCCATTCCCCCATACTCCTCCCCTCTGACAACTATCGGTTTTTTGTCTGTAATTATGAGTTTGTTTCTGTTTTCTTTCATTTGTTCATCTTTTTTTTTTTTTAAGATTCCATGTACAAGGGAAATCATATGGTATTTATCTTTCTCTGTCTGACTTATTTCACTTAGCATAATACTCTCTATGTCCATCCACATTTTTGCAAATGGCAAGATTTTAATTTTTTTAATGGCTGAGTAATATTCCATTGTATATATGAACCCTCACTTCTTTATCCAATCGTCTGTTGATGGGCATTTAGGTCCCTTACATATCTTGCTTTCATATCTTGGCTATTGTAATGCTGCAATGAACATAGAGGTGCATTTATCTTTTCAAATTAGTGCTTTTGTTGTCTTCAGATACATTCCCAGAAGTTGAACAGCTGGGTCAATGGTGATTCTATTTGCATTTTTTTTTTTTTTTGAGGATACTCCATACTGTTTTCCATAATGGCTGCACTAGTTTACACTCACACCGACAGTGCACGAAGGTTCCCTTTTCTTTACATTCTCACCAATACTCACTGTTTGCTGATTTATTGGCGATAGTCATCTGACAGGTGTAAGATAATATCTCATTGTGATTTTTTAATTTGCATTTCCCTGATGATTAGTGTCGTTGAGCATCTTTTCGTATGTCGTCTTTGGAGAAATCTCTTTTCAAGTCCTCTGTCCATTCTTTAATTAGATTATTTTTTTAATGTCAAGTTCTATGAGTTATATATCTATGTATCTATATCTATATCTACACTTAGGTATATAGATATTAACCTCTTATTGAATATGTTATTGCCAATATCGTCTCCCAAGTTGTCTTTTCATTTTGTGGATGGTTTCCTTCACTGTGCAAAAGTTTTTTGGTTTGATGTAGTCTCACTTGTTTATTTTTGCTTTTGTTGCCCTTGGCTGAGGAGATATATACAAAAAAAATATTGTTAAGCCCTATGTCAGAGAGTTTACTGTCTATGTTTTCTTCTAGGAATTTTATGGTTTTAGTTCTCACATTTAAGTCTTTAATCCATTTTGAGTTTGTTTTTGTCCATGGTGCAAAAAGGTAGTTCAGATTTATTTTTCGCATGTATCTATCCAGTTTTCCCAACATCATTTATTGAAAAGACTGTCATTTCCCCCATTGTATGTACTTGCCTCTCTAGTTGTGGATTAACTGACCATATAAACATGGGTTTATTTCTGGGCTCTGTATTCTGCTCCACTGATTTGCGTGTCTGTTTTTGTGCTAGTACTATATTGTTTTGATTATTATAGCTTTGTAGTATAGTTTGAAATCAGGGAGCATGATACCTCCAACTTTGTTCCTCTTTCTCAAGATTGCTTTGGTAATTTGGGGTCTTTTGTGGTTCCACATATTATTCTAGTTCTTCATAAATGCCATTGGTATTTTGCTAGAGATTGCATTAGATGTGTAGATTGCTTTGGGTAGTATGGGGATTTTAACAATATTGGTCCTTCATATCCTTCCATTCATTTGTGTAGTCTTTCATTTCTTTCATCAGTGTCTTATAGTTTTCAGAGAACAAGTCTTTTACCTCCTTGGTTAAATTTATTCTAGATATTTTATTATTATTTTTGATGCAATAGTAAGTATTTGTTTTCTTAATTTCTCTTTCTGATAAGTCATTATTACTGTATAGAAATGCAATAGATATCTAAATATTAATTTTGTATTCTGAAACTTTACTGAATTCATTTATTAGTTCTAATAGTTTTTTTGGTAAAGTCTTTAGGGTTTTCTATGTGTAGTATGTCATTTGCAAATAGTGACTTCTTCCTTTCCAATTTGGATGCCTTTTATTTCTTTTTCTTGTCTGATTGCTGTGACTAGGACTTCCAATACCGTGTTGAATAGAGTGATGAGAATGGACAGCCTTATTTTAAAAGGAAAGATTTCAGCTTTTCACCATTGAGTATGATGTTAGCTATGGGTTTGTCATATATAGTCTTTATTATATTGAGGCATGTTCCTTCTATACCCACTTTGTTGAGAGTTTTATC